GCTATCGACGTGAAAAAAATGTACCTCGGCGCGGTGGTGTTCATGCGCGTTTATCCGGCATTAGTGTACGTTTTAAAGGCGCAGTCTTGTACAATTTATTATATATGTAATATAAACGTAATATACAACGCGTTACCAAGGTTGAGAGTACCAAATTTATATTTACGAGTATCCCCGTAACCGCGGGACTACGTGCAGTTCCGCAGCACCCCACACTTTTCGAAAGGACCGGCTGCGATGCTGCCGATGCGATGCCATATGGCTCCGATTCTGGTAAATTTACGTTGTGTGTGAGCTACTGACTGTCTGAAAAGGAACGCTGAGACATCTCAGAAGGGAAGGAAACCGAAAAGAAATCCAGTCATTGTCGCAGGGAGCGCACACGAGCAAGAGATGGGTCGACAACGTCAAGCCCTTCGTCGCCGCTGCTCTCGTGTGTGGTACTTTTGAGACTTGTTTCCCGTCGTATTTCTGTCATCACCGTAGTCTCGGGTAGTTTTTTGTGTTCGCTTGATACCACGGCATTTACGTGGATTCGTGAAACAAGTCCTGCTTCGGTTTGAGTGACATGTGTGACAACTAGCTGACGAAGACTGGTCGATTAATCGGTAGACCTCTCTCTCGACAGAGAGAGGCTTCTTGGAGTTCGTGCTCAAACGTGTACGTCACGGATATTGTGGAACGTATGGATACGATCGACAGGTGAGAAACAACTTATTTACGGGCTTTCTTGGTCATGTAGGACGCAAGGAAGATGCTGCAATCGTTTTTTTTTTTCTAATCGCATGATAGATTGCAATTTTGTTCTTTGTCATGATTCGTGTGCAGTTGCGTCGACATTTGTAAATATGCGCGCTAATCTAGTTTTCACTGGAAGGTGAAAAACAAGCTTGTGTGATTATTGAAAGTGCGTTGTTCGTGGTTCTGTGTTTATTTATACTAAAGTTATTTTATTGCCTTTTCCGCGTTTATACTAGAATCTTAACTGTATTAAGGTAATAATATTATTATATACCAAATAAGTTATGATTTGTTCTAAGGCAGCTCGAGCCCCATAGGGAGAAGTAAATTAGTAGACTAAGTAGTACGTTTAGTACCCCTGCCACAGGGAAACGTTAATATATTTTCATTCAGTGATATAGGATTTAATCAGCTCGCGGTCTTGAGTGATTATACGAGCGTCGCAAGCGGATTTGTCGACCCCACAATGTCATTCGATCGAAATTGCATTAATTTTGCCATGTGGCCGGGGTATGATGCAAGGATTCAGTGACTGCACGCCATAACGTCACTTACATGATCGTGAGAAACACTTGTCTTGCCTTGTCCGCGTTGACTACATCTACCTGATTTTTAACTGCTCTGTTTTGCTGTTTCCAAATCACTGCGTGTCTCGCCATTTTTTCGAAGTATTTCTGTATAAAATATGCATTCATACAACAATAATTGCATGACTCAATGTTTTCGACTTAAAACAATCACATTTTTTTATAGCCGTCTTGTACGCATACCTCGTGCCATTTCGTACCGATTATTTAGCGGTGTAATATTTTGCTCGTGTAATAAAATGTTTTCTAGACCCATTGCTATGTGCAGCTTTCATTTTAGCTAACATGGCACGCGTATGTGACTAAAAACGCGTTACGACGGTCGATCTACGCGCGTTACACTCGCTTCGACGCGCGCCCCCGATGGCCTTCCTTTGCGACGTCACGAGAAGAGCGCTACGGCTTTGTCTTCTAGGAGGTGTTGGGTTATGCCCCCCCCCCCCCCCCGCCTCCCCCTCAATTTATCGGGGACAAGTTACCGCTATATTTACCGGGATAATTTTCCCGCTAAACTTTACGCGAACATTTAGTGGGGAATTTTTCCCATAATGCAACGCGCGGTTACGCCCGCTTGCTTCATTCCCTTAATGCAACGCCCGCGGTTACGGCGACGCCGACAGGGACGCCGCTCAAGCTTGAAACGTTCGCCTATGCGCTCTAAAACGCGTACATATGTTCCAAGTGGTTACATATTGTTGTTTTCCGAGATGAAAAAAAAAAAAGAGGGGGGGGGGGGGGGGGGTCTTTGTCGTGGCCAGGTGTGGCTAGTGCAGAACACAGTTGCCTATGCTGCGGCAAACCCGGATCGTAAAAACCCGTACAGAGGAAACGAGGCTCTCTCGGCAGCCTAAACGGCGCTGAGCGCGCTCACATACTGATCCTTCTGGAGCCGTTTTTTTACATGTTTAAGGGTAAAATATGTGCCTAACGTTGTTGCAACAATGACTAATGAAGCACCCGCATAAAAAGCGATATTTTAAGTTAAAAAACTCAACTCAATAATTTTATCTCTTTCGGAAACATATACTTGATTGTTTGCATAACAAAAATATAGTAATCGAATACAAAAAAAGTTACCGCAAAACAAAGTACTTGAAGCAATAAAAATTTACAATAAAATGTAATGGATCACAAGTAACCAATTACTAGTCACTCGTTACGAACAACTCTGTATATACGATGCCTCGTCTAATGACCAAGCTGCGTTATTTTTTTTGATTTTTGTTTTTCTTCTTACGGCGCTAAATTAGCATGAGGAACTTCATGAGCCTTAGTACGCCGCCGTGTTTGTTTAGCAATATCCTCTGGGCCTGTGTTCTTGAACGCTAATTGTGGGTTAAAGTTTACTATGAGAGAGTTTTAGTAAATCGTTCCGATGACTCCGATAACGACACCCGATACCCCTCCGCCGCCTTTGCGCATACGTCGTATTTTATCGCATAACGTTATCGGGGTTATCAGAACGACCTACTGAAATTTGTTATTGCCCCAAGAATGAGGGGAATTTTCGGTCAGCTGGCTGTGAGAGCAGGGGTGGCCGAGGGAGATGCAGTACTTACAACCAAAGTGACCGCGACGTTGATCAAGGGTTATGATGCCGATGAACATTTATTTCCATACGGCTTTCGTATTAATGACGCAACGTCAACCTATTAGCACGTCAAGCAGAGAGGCAGTTTATAGTGAATAGTACACAAACAAAGAGAGCGCATCGCAGACACATCACCTTCAGCAGTCTAATGGCGAATTCCACTTGTCGTTTTGGAGCGCGCCGCGATCGACTCTTCTGGAGCGAGCCTATTTCACTGGGCGATCGGGATCGAGACGGACGTGACAGTCGAATGCCACGCATAGTGAAAGAAGACCTCGTTGTAGCGCGTCGCACTCCTAAACGAAAAGGAATGCCAGGAAAGCTAGGTCTGAAATTCATCCAAAGTACTTTTAAAGTGCGTTGAATGACAAGCCACGTAAGCTATCGGTTGCGAAACCTACATGCAACTCTTTGGGAAAGTCAGAATCTTCCAACTCATCTCAGTCAACTAAAACTGTTCGTCTGCGAGCAGAAACTCTCGAACGAAGACACCGCGAAGCACACTGCTGAGGGCAGACCGTCAGCAAGGACTGTCTGCCCTCGGCAGACCGTCCTTGCTGAACAAAACTGATAAACCGCTAGTGTTTAGGCAGCAAGAGTTTAGTCTACCGGAGTATGACGACATTGTTGCCCATTGATGGTGAAACATTTATTCAGTGCAGCATGATTGAAATACTGCGGTCTTTAAAGTCCATCATGCACTATGGATATCCGGTCGCACGCTGGAACGAAGTTCATCATCGAATCGGGGAGGGTGGGGAGATTGAGGATCTCTGGTTTCTGCAGCGCGAGCTTTCGCTGCAAGTGCTACGAGCTGCTGTGTGTTAAAACACTCCGCCACAAGTCCCCCATAGATATTAATCAAAGCTGCACGGAATAGAGCGCATACAAAGAAGACCAAGAAAAGATGTTAAAAAAAATGAAAGCCGTTTACAAATCCCTGTAACGCCGAATTGGAGCGCAGCTCTTGAGGAGGAGTAGGGAAGGGTACTGAGGGGGGTCACATCACCTGCGGGTAGTCACGTGACCCCGGGGCGGGGGGGGGGGGGGCACGTGATCTGGGGGAAGGGGGGTCACGTGACCTGGGGGGGCCACGTGACCTGGGGGAATCACGTGACCTCGGGGGGGGGGGGGGGTCACGTGATCTCGGGGGGGGGGGGGGGGGGTCACGTGACCTCGGGGGGGGGGGGGGGTCACGTGACCTCGGGGGTCACGTGACCCTCCCCCCCCCCCGGTTACGCCGACGCCGACGCCGACGCCGCTCAGGCTGGAAACGGGCCCCTAAGAGCTGCGCTCTAAAAATTGGGAGGAAGAGGAAAAAACGAGGTAATGTGGTTCACCGTCACGACGAGGAGAACGGCTTTTCGCTATAGTTTCAGCTGGGATACGACCTGTACATCATATACTAGCGCAGGGGTGGCCAGGCTGACCCGGCATAAGAGCCGCAAACAAAAGTACAAAACTTCAAGAGCCGCAAAGGAGGGGGGGGGGGGGGGGGGGGTCAAAGTTTTGTCTAGAGCAATAAACGAAACTTGAACTATTTTCAACCTATTCGAGTCAAGAGCAGCCGAACTGTACGTGATGTAGCCAGCAGTAGTTCAAATCTACCAAACCTATATCTGTCTCGATTTAAAACGCGTTCCATTTCTCTTTTTGAAGACATGCTCGTGTGACCGGGAGGGTGGCCGGGGGGGGGGGGGGGGGGGGGGTGTAGGGGAGGGAGCTGCGAGCCGCACTTTAACACGCGAAGAGCCGCAGCTTGGCCACCCCTGTACTAGAGTAAGAGTCACGAAAGAGAGAAAAAACGGTGAACCCGGTCAAACTTTATTTAAATCCTTAAGCAAGAGAATATTTAGAAAATGACAAATGAATTTATCCAAGAAATTTATCTGTGGCACACACGTTGTGTGCAACAAATATTTTGTCTAGAACGATTCGTGTGTTGCACACACGAATCGTTCTAGACAAAATATTTTGTTTTTGTAACAAAGTATAAAGACTCAACCAAAAGAGCTCAGAATCCCCCCCAGAAGAGCTGGCGCCAGAGGTTACCGCGACGCCGACATCGCACGTCACATTGTTTAAGATGACACCACAATAGTTCCCAAGCCCTTATTGATCACCAGGTTATAGATATCATTTTTCTTTTCTTTGTTAATGGGAAACTTGTTCGCCGCCTCATCTATCTGATCCAAGTCTACATCAGCAAGCACCAGCTCTTCACCAGACCCCGCTGACTGCACCACCGTGCCACTCGGATCCACCAACATGCTGTGTCCCCAATTGACGTAGCTCGCAGATTCATCCCTCGAAGGTGACGCTGTGGCAACGTACACCTGATTATCGATCGCCCTGGTTCTCTGAATCACCTCCCAGTACGTTGGACCAGTAATCGTGTCGAATGCGCCAGGGTATACCAACAATTTGCACCCAAGCTGTCCGTAGGCCTCTGCCATATACGCAAAACACATGTCGAAGCATACTCCGACGCCCACTTTGCAGAACGGAGTGTTGAAGGTTGTCAGTCGGTTGCCCGATGTTATAAAGTCTGTTTCACTGAACCTGATTTTTCCGGGAATGTTGAAGCCAAAAAGGTGTATTTTACGGTGCTTGGCGAGCATCGAACCGTCCGGGCCGTAGACCAGGCAGGTGCTGTAGATCTTCCCATTGTCACTCTCCGACATGGAGCCGCCAATGAGGTACACCTGGTTTTCTTTGGCGCTGCGGGACATCATCTCGCTGGACTCACCGGGAATCGTCTCGGCGTACTTTGGGAAGTTCGGCGCCGCGTTCGGGAATCCAAAACATTCTGGCAAAACCACCATCTTCGCTCCCTCGGAGGCCGCCTCTCTGATTTTCCGACTTGTTTTTTCGAGGTTCTCAGCCTTGTTGGAATTCACAGCGAGCTGCAGTAGAGCAAGACGAAACTTGTTCATCGACATAATATGTACTAGTTGCGAATAAATTCTCGATTCACAGTCTGTAACAAGAGTGTGCGATTCAACTGACGCTCCCTGGAAGATGTATTTGAGGATGTGCAAGCTCGGGTCTTTTATAGCGGAGCCGTAGTGATACGGTTAATTTTGTTCATTTGCATAAGCCACCTGATACCAGCGCAACATTACTCAGAAGGCAAGGCCTGCGCAAGACGTCATAATTTGTAGACCTCCAACCTGCCGCATGTGGTGACCGTCCTGAACAGAGTGACAGTGAAAGGCAGAGTCATTGAGATCCCTCTACACTGAATGTAGCCTAGTTTCAGCATTCCCGCAGTTTCTTTTTTTCATCTACAGGTGTGGGGTACGAGGCAACAAAAAATAACCAACGTATAACTAATACATAAAGAAAACGCAGCTCAGGCGCCATTTCAAAGTCAGGGAAATGCCTGTACGAGAAACGACATGTTAAGCCACATGTTCTTGATGACCGCGGTGCGCCTGCTCAATTAGTTACATCTAAGAATTCGTTTAAAACTTGAAAGTTCCAGTTAACTTTTTAAGTTTCTATTTCTGAAGACATCTTGTATTTATAAATTTAACGCTCGACCTTAATACGCTCTTGTTGTGGCAGTGTTGTGTTATTTAAAGGGGCATTGAAACGAAATTCTAGTGCGATTTGTATCGCCTAGATATCAACTACGTTCTGGCAACATTACGGAGACACCGATATTTTGTTTGAAAATACGTTAAAACGTTTTTCATAACGAATGAACTCGTGGATGCTCCGATGGCAACTTGAAATGCCTTTTCACCAATTGTACTGTTAAAGCATCACCCTGCAGAAGTACGTCGACAGTCTGCGTGCGCGCACTCCCTGCCGAAATTGGTCGAAACGGATTTCCCGTTGTCTCCCGCGCCTATTAAACTCCTCTAGAAAGAAAAAATGAGACTGAGAATTGGAGGAGGTCCGTAAAGTTTGAATTGCAGGTTAATCACTTTTTTTTTCGCCTCTGCTGGCATTGCCCAACGAAGCTTCGTGCATCTCATATGGCCAGGTTTAACGTCACTAAGGGCCGGTTGCACCAGCGCCGCTTACCTTAACCCAAAGCGGCACTTTCCTAAGCCGGCTTAGCGCCCTAAACCGAGCTTAGGTAAGCACGGGTTTAAATTCCGGTTGCACCAAGGTTAAGCCGGCTTTACAGACGCGCCCCTAGCTAAACGCTGGATTTGCGTAGGGAATCTAGGGACAAACAGAGCAAACTAGGAAACGCACAGAGCGACGAATACGATTGGCGGAAAGGAATCACGTGATGTAAACAAAAAAAAAAGAAAATCTGCCGTAGTAGTTGTCGTCGGCGTCTGCTTTTCGCTGTATTTCTTCGGTGAGTAACAAATTAAAGGTCTCCAAATTCAATCATTTTTTCGTTTAACTTTCAATAGCAGAAGTCAAAGCTTCAAATAAACACGAATGCTCTTTACATCTGTGATTGTGTGTTTAATATCGGTTGATAACAGGTTATTTTGACAGTGGTAGTAGTTTTCGTGCTCACATTTTGAGGCGAAGGAGCCATCGGGGGCCCCAAAACTCACCGAACGCGAGAAGGACACTCTACTCGCTACATCGCTGAAGACAAAACATCATGGATATAAGTAGGCAGGTAAGATGACTACTAAAACCAAGTCAAGTCTGAGACCGATGAAGTTCAAAACAGTGACGAACTCGCCACGGCAGCTGCGAAAATGCCCGGAAATCGTCGAATAGAAGTCGTCGAGAGGTCAGGTCACGAGACCTTGCATCGACGGTACTCGTTGCTATCAGCAAGGTTAGAGAACTGCACTGTACCGTCGTTGAACATCCGCTGCAGCCTCAAACGGACTTCAGTTTCACACTGTCGAGTTCAGAAAAAAGAAACTCCCACTAGTACATCACATCGCGCCGATAAGAACGGTCGTCTCTTCGCATCGCCTGCCCCAGCCTGCCCCGATACAGCAATGAACGAATCTAACATAGTAGTCGTTACGATTTGTCGTTGCCACGAATGAAAGATATAAAGCAAAATATTCCTAAAAAATCGCGATCACCAAAAAAGTTACAGTTATGGAACGATACAGTTTTCTGAAGCTAAGATTCTACTCGCGAGATAAGGAAAATGCACTGAAGATTGTCTCAAAACTCAGAAAACGAAAGAAATTGAATTTTCGCTGTTTTATTACTTAAAAGCGCCGCAATCTGATGCAAACGGCAGAGGTGTCGACAATCAGCTGATCGCCGAGATCATGTACTGCACTATTCAACGCGCTGATCAGATTGAAGGATACGCGCTGCAAGTGTAAATAAACAAGGTGGTAAATAACAATACGTTACAGCTATGCGAAAAATAGTAAGTACATACGAATAAGCTCGTTGACAGAAGACCCAACGGGAATACAGACGTGAGCCCCACAGCTCCGTACGTTTCTCGGTTAGGGCTAACACGCCCTGAAAGTGGAAAGCCAACTTGAAAACAGGGGTCGATAAACACTTCACGCGACAATATTTTGCATCTTTGTCACAATCGAAGGTCATTTTGTCGAGACTTTCACGCTGACGTAGCCTAAAACACTTTGCACAACCAATTTCGTCCACCGCGTCGACCGTGACAAACCAGCCGCCATGTTTTTAATCCAGGATTAAGAAACAACCAGAAGCAAAGCGCCCAATGTTGAGCGCTCAAGTTAAGCGTAGTTTAGTGCTAGGTTTAGCGATAAGCGAGTTTGGTGCAACCGAACGAAACCGAAACTAAGCTTAAGTTCCCGGCTAAGCTCCGCTTTGCGCTAAGCGACGTTGGTGCAACCGGCCCTAAGAGTCAATATTATAACCACGCCAGCTTCCCCGTAGCCGCACACATGCTGGGAAAAGTGACCTCACAGACTCCCGTGATGCATTGCGCTCTCTGATGGCTACTTTTCGAGCTCTGGATATGGTAGGCCGTTCAGAACAAGAGGTATAACGTGTTCAAAATAAAAACGTGCGATTGTCATTAGAAGATATGCTTGATCAATTTTAAAGAATTTTGGAGTGTGATAGCTATGCTTCAATCTTCATTTCAGTATCCGCAGTGAGTGCACCAGGCCGAGAAATATCACATTTGCAGGAGGCTTCAAACCAAAACTCGGTTGGTATTGTGCGAGAAAACAAAGAGACGATGGAGAAAACTTACAAAGATATACGTATCCTGTGTATTCTCTTTTACTTCAGCAAAAGAAAAAAAGAAAAAAAAGAAGAAACGTACATGCGAAACATTTGCAATTCTCCTGTTGTTGTTTTTTAATTTTTTTTTTTTTTTTATCGAAAATAGTTTTGAGATTTAAGGATTTCCACAGGTCGCACTGTTGGTTGTTTATCCAGGCTGAGATACCTAACCGCAATGAACCAAAGGCAGCGTCTCTGCATCTCTGCGACTCCTCTATTATGCAGGGTGATCAAAATTAAGATTTAACTAGTAAAAAATTTTAAAAACAAACAAACATCGGAGGTGTCTCAGTCTTCTCCCTTTCTAGCAAGATTATACTCTTAGGCGAGCATTTAGCGCAAGGATAATCGCAGTGTTCATTCTCCTGATTACTCTAAGTTTATCCTTAAACGTTTCAATACTATAATCGGTGTTTGTGCTTATACTACAAACTTCAAGGCGGCAGCATTCCAGGAATTTCGTTTTGTTTAATTCTCGCAGCCAGCTTGTGTTCCAAGATGTATGTCTCTGAATTCGCCACTTACTCCGGCTAACTTTACGAACAGAACCTCTAAGATCTGGTTAATAGGGAGTTTTCGTAGACCGCGTTTCCCCCTCCACTAAGCCCTCCGCAACGAAGAAGCCGCTACCGCGCCTGCGCGCCGATAGCCTTGGCTGTACAATTCCGGGCATCGTAGCGGGTTGCGGAGAGCCGTTGCTGGACGGCGAAAACGATCTACAAAAACTCCCTGTTATCTAGGCGTTCTATACGACAGAGTTGCGGAGCTGATCACACGTCTTCACCAGTTGAGCGCGAAAAAGGATCTGAAGTCAGCTCCACCCCGTTGTCAAGTCAAATGCAACAACCTGTGTCACACCGGGAAGGACTTCTGAGCCAATCTACGCGAGTATGTACGCATAGTTGACCCATTTGAGTGGCAAATATTACCACTCAATCCGACTACAATAACGGCAATAAATGTTAACAATGTCTAGGCTTCTTTTGAAAGTATTTTTAATCAGGAGCATTCTTTATCTGACCCTTTTGGCATGCATTGAACGTGAATGTTACTTTTAATGGGTTTGTTGATTTCAGATGGGACAGAGTAATAAAATGCTTGCAATCCCAAATTTCTTCTGGCATGCGCAGCGCTCCGTAATAGTACGGACTGGGCATATGGTTTAAATCGAGGTTCGAAGCAGCAATGGTAGGAATGGTAAATCAGGGAAGTTTCTGTTGTTACCATTATCATTGCGGGGCCGATCCAAAGGGGCGGGAGGCGACGAGGGAGGCCCCCTCCCCCCGATCAAAGTCGAACCCCTTTACTTCTCGGAGGGCAATTTGACATGAGTGGACCTCCCAGTGCACAAGAAAGAATGGGTAGGTAGGTAGGTAGGAACGTTTATTTCACTTTTTGGCAGTAAAAAATGCTGTGGTGAGTGGGTTTAGGATACAGGAGCGGGGGACAGGGGGCCTCCATTCTTCTATGTTGGCCCGGTTGGTGCGACGGCGTCAGAGGATAGATGTACGCGGTAGGTTCAGGCCTGGTGTTTTGTATGGGCTCAGTGCTGGACAGCTGAATGTCTTGAAGCCGTGTGCCGACAGGGACCTGGATGTACGCGAGTAGCGATCGCCAGAGTTCGATAGCGGTCACTTTAGGGAAGGAGGGCTCCGGGCAGGACCAGGCATGCAGCGAGGTAGGCCTGAAACTCTGCTGGATGGTAGCCAAGGTGCCGGTTCGGGGATCCGAGTATAGCGGGTAGTCCCAGAGCATGTGCTCCAGATCAGCG